TATTAATGCTAACATGCTCTGATCTCCGAGAGAAAGACATAGTCAACCTTGAGCCTTTCCCAAACCTATATGATCTTAGAATCATTTAAAAGAAAAACACAGAGATTAATCTTAGTACCCTGTCAATTGTTTATCCCACACCTTGCTCCACAATGCCCTCTGGGTGGATGTTCCAATGGGGTCTTGTTCACCGTCTTTTTTTTTTTTTTTTTTGACAGAGTCTTGCTCTGTCACCCTGGTTGGAGTGCAATGGTGCAATCTCGGCTCACTGCAACCTCTACCTCCTGGGCTCAAGCGATCCTACTGCCTCAGCCTCCCAAGTAGCTGGGATTACAGGCACGTGCCACTGTGCCCAGCTAATTTTTGTATTTTTAGTAGAGATGGGTTTTACCATGTTGGCCAGGCTGGTCTTGAAGTCCTGGCCTCAGGTGATCCACCTGCCTTGGCCTCCCAAAGTGATGGGATGACAGGCGTGAGCCACCATGCCCGGCCAGTCTTGTTCATTGTCTTGTTCCCCGCTGAATCCTCAGTGCCTCCAGGCTGCCTGGCACATGGCAGTCAATATATCTGTCAAACAGGTGAGTGGCCAGAGGAAAGCTAGAGTTCTCAACTTCTAAATTCTCACACAGGTTAATTATAACTAACTAGTTACCTGAAAGATGCTATTTATTTATTTATCTTAGAGACAGAGTCTTGCTCTGTTGCCCAGGCTGGAGTGCAGTGGCACAATCTCAGCTTACTGCAACCTCCACCTCCCGGGTTGTTCAAGTGATTCTCCTGCTTCAGCCTCCTGAGTAGCTAGGACTACAGGTGTGTGCCACCACGCCTGGCTAATTTTTGTGTTTTTAGTAGGGAACGGGGTTTCACCATGTTGGCCAGGCTGGTCTCGAACGCCTGAACTCAAGTGATACGCCAACTTCAGCCTCCCAAAGTACTGGGATTACAGGCGTGAGCCACCGCACCCAGCATGAAAGAAGGTTTTTAAACTGCTGGTGGTTAAAATGTATTTTCTTCCAAAGGCACACCAGGGAACCCCTACGGAGACCTCCACCCACCCAAATCAATCAGCTCATCACCCGCTTCCCCAAGCTTAGGGCATCTTAATATTCTGCCTCCCTGGCCCTTCCACAGGAAGGAAGAAAAGCAACTCAGAGCGACTTCTATGTGGTGAGAAATGATCTCCATGCATTTGTTAGGCTTAAAGTCTTATAGGACCTCCGTCTAAGTGGACATTCTGTCTCCCAGTCACCTCGCCCACTGATAGTGAGTATTGTGGCTGCCATGCTGCTGCTGATGGCAAATGTGAGCACCTTTTATGTGATGAGCACTTTACTAGAGGTTTCTGCTTCCCTACCAAGACATGGCATCTGTGACCTACGCCTTCCCTCCTCTCCCACTGTTCTGCTGCACTCTGCAGCCAGATCCAATAGGAGAAAAGTCACAATCCCTCCATGTGCAATACTGGAAAGAGCTTGGGAATCAGACCAGTCTGAACTTGACTCCTGGCTTCATGACTGACTAACTGTGAGACTTAGGGCCAGGGTTCTAGACTCTCAGAACCTCAGTTTCATCATCTCCAAAATGAAGATAATCACATTTTTAAAATGTGTGCAAAGAGGGTTGCAGACTGAACTGTACCGTGTAAATGAGCGCACGAGACTGAACTGTACTGCGTAATGAGTGAATGAGATCAGCATGCCTGGGTCCTGACTCTATACTCTGTAAATTACACAGTACGTCATCTTATTTACTCTGTGCAACCACCAGTAAGGTATCCTTCTCATCCCCATTTCAAAGATAAGGAATCAGGTTCAGAGAGGATTAAAACCAGTCTGTTACCTTTCAAAGCCATACTACCAACTGCCTCACCTAAAACTGCTCCCATCCCATGTTCCCCAGATTCCCCATCAGCAGTCGGGGCACCTGCGGGCAAGCCCTACCCTGCCAATGCCTGGCTCCTGTAATCAGCAGCAAATCACCTCATCTTACTAGGTCTTAAGCTTCTCATCTGTAAAATGGGCAGAAAAATCTTAAGGTAAGGTAGACACGTGACTGGAAAGATAATGCTTTGTAAACTGCTGCATCACCATGTGCAATAAGGAATATTTGGGATTTGTGCAAATGTGGTCTGGGAAAAACGGAGAACAGTGCTACACGTATGCCTCACCCCCAATATACAGACCCTAAATGAAACTCACACTCAGACAGTCATTGCCAGATTGGCTCAAGGAAGAAAGAACTATGTCCATTGATCAGGCAGGCCTGGATTTTGATCCAGCTCTGCAGGTAACTAGCAAAGTGTGATTTGGGGCAAGTGGAGATCATTTGGGCCTCCACGTTCTCATCTGGATGGTGGGGGAAGAGGGATCATGATGCCTGGCACACAGCATAGTTGGTCCTTCCTCTGGGCTCCCTCAGTAGGTGCCCCAACGGATCACACCATGAGGAAACTGTACATGGGTCTGTCTCTATACCTAACAGGTGAATTTCCTCAGGGCCAGGACCATGGTTTGTTCGTCTCTGTGTTCTCAGGGCGTGGTGCCAATACATATTTCATCAGATGAAAGAATAAGAGGTACCTCTCCTGGAAATCTGATTTGTTCCTAAGTCAGGTGACCAAGCCTCCTGCCTCCCCAGGGCCAACAAAGACTGGCTCTCACTGGAGATTCTGATTCAACTATGGGTACTTACTCTTCATTTCATTTAATCTGAATAACCGAGAGAGGTGTGCGCCCTAATGGTGCCCTTTCTACAGATAAGAAATCTATGGCTCAGAGAGGGTAACTAATTTGTCCAAGACACACAGCCAGAGAACCCAGCCCAGGTCTTCCTGAACCCGGTTCCATCCCCAGCTCAGGCATTAATTCGTAGAACTGCCCTCCCTCTCCTGGCGCCATTCCATAGAGCAAGTTTGTCTATGCCCAGGAGGGCTTTGAAGGTGGCCCGACACAAATTCGTAAACTTTCTTAAAATATTATTATTATTATTATTATTATTTTAGCTCAACAACTATCGTTCATGTTAGTGTATTTTGTGTGTGGCCCAGAACAATTCTTCTTCTTCCAACGTGGCCCAGGGAAGCCAAAAGATTGGACACCCCTGCCACCGAGCAACTGGATTGGGGAAGGACGAAGGGTCCTACTAACCAGAGAAAAGGCAGCGCAACCCCAAGTCCTCAATCCGAACTCACCCACGGCTGAAGGGAGGGGGCGCCAAACAGGGTCCTTGACCTAACCCCAAGAAGGCAAAGAACGAAGGAAACAGACGAGAGAGACCTGCTACTCCAGCGAGTGTAGCCATGTCCTCCATTTCACCAGGAGCCCAGGCCAGTGGGACTCGAAAGCAAAACGGACCCTGAGGGAGGGGCGGGCCCAGAGAGGCGCATCAGCATCCCATTGGCCGGCGCTCCCTCCCTCTGCTACGTCACTCAGTCCTCCCTCGCGGGAAGCCCGTCGCCCGCTCCCCGTGGGCAGCGCTGCGCAAGGGGGTGCCTCGGTAGCCTAGGGGCCCCAACTCCTGGCTCCCCCCGCAGCTGCAGCTGTGGTTGCGCCGCGTCACAGCCTCAACCGGCCCCATAAAAGGCCTTTTTTTCTTTTTTAATTTTTTTTAAGTTTCTGACAAACTCACAAGAACTGTCTTAGGACGGCTGCGCAGCCCTCCGTCTTCGTCACCTCCCAGCCCTCAATCCCGGAGACCTGGGGCTGGAGGGTGGGTCAGACTGGCCTGGACTCGAATCCCACCACCTTCCCTCCTGTTGTGAGACTGTCCGGTTACTTCCTCCCTCGGTTTTCTACCCTCAAAATGTGTGTCGCTGGCACTATAACCACACGTTCTGAAGAATAAATTGGTTAAACTTGCTATAAAGGGAGGAGGCATTGTCTTGCCTTCTCTTTGTACGAATGGGGAAACTGAGGTCCAGCTACCAGAATAATTGCTCATACTAGTGAATTCATGCCAGCTAATGAATCTAGTTAATGCTATTATTGGCTACCATCCACCGAGCAAGCGTCAGGGCGCACCACAGGCACCTCATTTCAGTGGCTCCTTGGACAACTCCGCTGCATAATTTATTGTATCCATTTCATGTATGAGGAAACAGACTACAAAAGTCAAGTGACTTGCCTAAGGCCCTAAAATGAGTAAAAGGAGGAGCTGACGGTTTGAGGTGTGGCTCACGACTCTGCCACAACTTTGGGTCATGCAGAAGCCTGAGACCTCCTCCTGTGCCTCCAGACTAGGGTTCTTAACATCTCTGAGGGTGTGGAAATCTGGTGAAAGTTCTGGATCTTCTCTATTAAGAAGTTACCCACACATGTAAGTGCAGTTCTGCTCAGTTTCACAGGCACCCAGCCACTCCCCACCCCACCATGTCCTCTGGGCAGCTCCACCCCCACTTGCCCACCCGCGGAATCTGCCCACATACATCCCCACCACCAAACCTTGCTTCCAGGAGAGTCTGGGAGGCAGAAGATAAATCTAGAGAGATGCCTGAAGGAAGAGAGAGGGGGGAGTGAGACAGAGGCAGACAGCAAGAGAAGAGAAACTAGAGTGGGTGAGAAGCAAGAAGCAGGAGCTAACGATAGTCACCTTGGGTGGACGTCCTGGGATGGGGTGGGGCGGCCTCTAGATTTATCTGAAATGTCTGAATCTTTTATGACATGAACATGTGTAAAATGAGTGTCACTTGAATAACAAACAGAAACTAAGAATGGTCTACAAGAAAGAAAAGAGACCGAGTATGGAGACAAAGAGGATGGAGCCATACACAAACAGAAAAACAGAGAGGTAAAAACTGAAAAAGAGAAAAGCCGAAGTAAGGAAGAAAGACTGAAATACAGATAGAAAGAGGCTGGAGAGGTGAAGAAAGAGAATGAGGAAGATAAACACACAGAGAAGCAGACACATGGTGGAAGGTCCTTCCGAGGCCCACGGCGGGGGGTGCAGGGTTCCACCCCGGTCCCCGGTGGTCACAGATGCCCCCACCCCTGGCCCTGGCTGACCTGGAGGACCCGCTTGGTGAGGCCCGTCTTTTGCGCGAGCTGCTTCAAGTCCTTGGCGTCGGGGTTGTGGTTAATGGCAAAGTAAGACTTCATGGTCCGAAGCTGGTGGTGTTTGAAGGACGTGCGCATGCGCTTGGTCTTCTGGCTGCTCGGGTATGGCTGGTCCCGGTCCAGGTGCTCTGCGTCGTTTTCGTTGCAGCTTAGCGCTAGGGAGCAGACACAGAGCTGGTGGGTGAACTTCCTGACCCGCCCCCCATGCCAAATCCACCCTCGTCCCACCCGCTGCCAAACATTTCTATCCTTAACCCTGCTGCATGTCTGCGGCACAACGAACTGGGGACATTACCCCCATTTGATAGATGGAGACACTCTGAGGCTCAGAGAGAGTGATCCACCCAGGATCACTCTGCTAGGAACTGCAGCACTGAATCCCGGCTCTGGGAGAATCCAAAAATCATTCTGAGCCATTATGTTATGATAATAAAAACAAAAGTAGCAGCATCAGCAACAACAACTGCTATGACTTGTTGATGGCTGAATGAACTCCAGGTGATGTGTTAAAGGGCTTTCCAGGCACATTTTCTTTAGGTACTTAAAACAATCCTAGGAGCACCAGGTAGTATTTTTCCCATTTTTACAGATGTTGAAACTGAGGCTTAGCAAGGGAAGTCACTTGACTTCTGACACAGCAGGACAAGGTCTCTGGGCCTGCACTCCTCCGGTTTCCCAAGGCACTCTAAGGATGAGTGCTTTCCGCCATCTCCCCCTACCGTGCCTGGGACTGGCATCTAGAAATTGCTGAGACAGAGACTCACGCTCGTTTTGCCACATCCAAAAGTACTGAAAGACCCCAGGCCTTGGGCACTGGGCCAAAGGTTGGAAACTGCATTTTGCAGTTTAATCCTCATCACTACCCTGTGAGATGGTTTCCCCGTTGAACAAATGGATCAAGTTAGGCTCGGGGAAGTTCAGAGATCTGCGCAGTCCACAGAGAGTGCCGCAGTGGAAGGCGAAGGAAGTCCGAGGCAGAAATAAACATGTAGTAGACACCTGTGGTGTGTGTTTGGCTTTACAAATGTCACTGTACATCATTACCGCTCAGAGAGGTGGCTATTCCCATTTTAGAGATGTGGAAACTAAAGCTAAGGGAAATGAAGCAACTTGTACACAGCCACACCACCGGTAACAGGCTAGATTGATCTTGATGTGTTGAGCCTAGATTGAGCACTGGAGTTCTCCTTGTTTTCTTCCACTACACCACGAAGGGAGGAGGGAGCCTGTCCCTATCCACAAGGGGCCTCATGGGGGCCAGGCTGCCAATGTCTGGCTGGCATTGGGGGTGGGAAATATGGGTAAAACCCTGGGTCTCAGAAAATTGCTCAGCCACTTGGCAGCTGATGGGGACCTGCAGGACCCCTCCCAAGGTCCCCTCCTCACCTCCAGAGCCATGCCACACTTAAGGTCTTGCCTTGGGGTAAGCCTCAAAAGGGGTGTACATTCAGTCCGCCTAAAGTGGGGAACTGAGAAGGTATCTTGTGTCCTTATTACATACCCATAACAGAGCTCTAGATTCAGTCAATGAAAATACAGGTTGCCCAGTTAAATATAAATTTCAGAAAAATAATAAATAATGTTTTAGTGTAAGCACGTCCTAAATATTGCAAGGGACATGCCTATACTAAAAATGTATTTGTTGTTTACCTAAAATTCAAATACTACAGGTGACACAGCTGTGCTAAAAAATTGTCATTTACCTAAAATTCAAATATTACACGGGACACTTATACTACACATTTCAAATTTATTCGTTATTTTTCCAAAATGCAAATATTGCCAGGAACACTTACACTAAAAATGTATTTGTTATTTACCCAAAATTCAAATTTAACTGGGGATCCTGCATTTTGTCTGGCCACACTACCTCCAAAGAACTTTTACTCTGCGGGTGACCTCCCCCTTCCCCTGCCCAGATAGGGAACAGTCCCTTGCAGAGAGAATTTGCAAGATACAGGTCTTGCCCCTGCCTTTGGAGCTGTTAGCTAGGGGCTACACCTCCTAGGGGCCTCTTTCCACCCGCACTCAGGAACCCTCACCCCCGGGGCTGCATTCCCACAGAGAGCACGCCCAGAGTGAAGAGCGGGGGGTCCGGCAATTTAAAGGGGATCAGAGGATGCCTCTGAACCTGATCCACCAGAACTGCTTGGAATCCGCTGAGGTGAGCAACCCTTTTCTTTCCCCCAGTCCCCAGCTCCACTGGGGGTGGGGCAGGCCTCCCTACGGGGTATCTTTGGGCCCATCCCTTCACCGAGCCCCCGCCTGGGCCTGGCTGCTGTTAATGAGCTCCGTGGGGACCCCAGCGCCCCCATGGGCCCAAGGGACCTGCCCTGAGTGCCGCCTAGGTGGGGTAGTGGTGTGGGGGAGGGGGACAGAAAGGGCAGAGAAAGGAGAGAAAAGACAAACACAGAAAGGGAGAATGGAGGAAGAGAAAGAGAGAGGGGGTAGGGACGGAAGATGGACAGAGCCAGGAAAAAGAGAGGAGAGACAGAGGAAAAGAAAGCGAAGGAGCCGGGAGAACGGGAGAGCGACAGCTACAAAGACAGCAAGAAATAGACAGTGAGAGCGGAGGGGAAAGCGAGTCCCGGAAACAGGCGCAGCTTGTGGCGAGGGTCCGGTGGCCGAGCTGAATCCCGAGGCTCCAGGAGACCTGGTCCCTGCCAGGGAGGCCTTTTCTGAAGCCGTTACTGGCGGGGGAGTGGTGAAAAGGGGAAAGAAGAGGAGTGGAGAAAAAAGGAAAGGAGTCGGTCCTAAGTAGCGAGGCCGAGGCCGGCCAGAGGCGAGGGCAGGGGGCGGCGGCGGGGGAGGCAGACGTGGGGCCCAGGTTTGGCCGGCGCCCCGAACCCCCTCACTCCTGCCTCCAGTGCCCGGGGGCGGGTCGAGATTCCCCAGGATCGGATCCGGGGAGGAGCGAGGGGCCGAGGGGAGGGGGAGGACCCGGGCTTTCTCTCTCCTTTTTTTTTTTTTTTTCCTCTCAATTAGGCCGATTCAATGGAGCTAAAGAGCTCGTAAAATCATGAATAATTTACTCGTGATCTGTTATTAACCCATCGGGTTTCGAGCTCTTGTCGCTGGGACTGAACCTGTAATCAAATCTGACTTCGCCTCATTTTACTAAAGACGAGATTGTAGGTTCAATTGTCTAAATAATGGATTGGAATCAAATCAGTAATTACGCCGCCAGGCACACACACACAAAAAGCTGGGGCTGGGGGAGGCCGGGCGTCCGGCCGGTCCGCGCGGGACTCCCGCGACCGCGGCGCGCAAACCCAGGCGCAAAGTGCGCGGCCCAGGCCCCTCGTCCGCTCCTGCCGCCGTTCCCGCGCCCCCAGCCCGCTGGCAGCGCCGCCCGGGGTGGGGGGAGGTTTCCGTTCCACACGGGCCCGGGCCCGAGGGGCTGCGGGAAGAGGCCGCTGCGGCCCCGCCCCGGAAGGACTTTCCGACCCCGCGGCCCGCGGCTCTGCTGTAAGCCCAGCGCTAGCCGCCCCGACGGCGCCCCCTCCCCACTAGGCCCCCAGCTCGCCGCCCTTCAGTAAGGTGACGCCGCGCCTTGGAGGGACTGTTCCCAGAGCAAGAGGCTTTGCAAGGGGTCCGCGTGACTGGGCCACTGGATGTGGGACACTGCCACAAACAAGCTCGTGTCCCCGCGGTCGGAACGCTGCACGCACACGCACAAGACCCACGCCCGCACACCGTCCACGATCGCACCCTCCAGGGTCCCCGCTTTCCAGTCCTAACTGCCCCGCGGCCCACACTGCGGCTATTTCTCTCCTGCCAGTGCGGTAGGGGAGAGAAGGGCGGACGCCAGACCTAGGAAGGCTGGGCTGGGCCCCAAGAGGCCGGGGAGGTCCCCCCTTTCCCCAGCGTAGTCCCGTGAGCCCCGAAAGAGTCAGCCGCATAGCCACCGCTGGCGCACCGAACGCCGTTTCTCCCAGGACTAGGAGCCCTGGGCAAGGTCGGAGAGGAGGGCACGGAAACAAACAGGGACACACACAGAGACAGAGATAGAGAGAAAGGACGGAGGGAGCGGAAAGGAAAAAAAGAGAGAGGGAGGCCAGAGAGAAAGTGAGATGGCTGAATGGAGGGTGTCTCTTGTAGAGGTTAGAACAAGGCTTGAAATTCAGCCTCCAGCCCATCTCGCTGGCGGAAACGGCGGCTGAACAGCAAAAAGCAGAAATAACTCTCTGTACCTTCTACTCTCTTTTTGCACAATCCTAAACCTGGCGCCGAACCTGCGTGCCCAGGAAAACAATACAGCTCCCTAGCCACCAGGTGCCCTGGAGCCGAGACCCGCGAGGTGCTTCCGAGTGGAAGTTGACCCCACTTGATAAATAGAAGCGGCTTGGTTTGGGGGGAGCCGGTCTGAACTCGGTTTTGTCTTTTTTTTTTCGGGGTGGTAGGAGATTAGGGATGGAAGTTCCAGAGAGCCACATCTGTGCTAGTGCCGTCAGCAAATCTTAGATCCGCGCCACCGACCGGCCTACTGCTGCTTCACCATTCACCAAACTGGGGACTGCGTTTTCCTCCCAGTTCCGCACGCAGACACACGCCCCATGATCCTCCAACAAGCGATTTCGTTGGAGCGAACGGGGACACCCCCATCCGCCCCTCATTTCCCTCCATATTCAACTCAGATTCTTTAAGATGAAAATAACTGACTTCTTCCCGCCGTAGCCCCCTCTGGACAGTCTTGGGTTTGTTTTTGTTTTTGTTTTTTCCACTTGTGCATTAACTAAAGGGAAAAGGAGGAAGCACACAAAATCTCCAAATCTAATTCTGTTGCAAACGAAAGAAAGAAAATAATTGCAAATAAACTCTAGTTCGGAAGCCCGGAGAGTCATAAACCTTTCCGGGCCTTGCAGACTTCGGGCAGATGTTGACGGCTCATTTGCCGGGACTCAGAACCTCTGCAGCTGTCCTGAGCAGGGAGGGGCGCGGGAGGGGGCAGAGCTTCTCTGGGAATGGCCTGAGGTTCAAAGATGCCGGAAATCCGAACCAAGCCCCCCACCTCACCCCACCCCACTCCACCCCGGCGCGCGAGGCCAGGCCTGCTCGGGTCTGGTCCCGCCCGGGCGCCCGCTTCCGAGGGTCGCGGCCCTCACCCCAGCAGGCGCCAGGAAACTCGGAGGAAGGAGCCCGGGAAAACTGAGACCTGGCTTTAAAGGAGGATCGGGCCGAGTAAAAGGACCCGCAGCCTTTGCTTTCCTGAGTTCTCCAAGCCCGAGATCCCCAAGCCTGCCGCCCTTGGGACATTTCACGCCGTCAGGCGGCACACCAGGCCGAGCTCGGCGCCCCTGGTCACAACCAGCCCTCTCTCGGGACCCTCGCCGCCCTGCCTTTTTCCTTCGCCGCCCTGCCTTCGTCGCCGCAGCTCCCCGCCCTCAGCCGCGCCAACCCGAAGCCTGTTTGGTGTCAGCGCCGCCTTGCTTTCTCCATCCCTACACTTCCTGCCCAGCAAAGTGGGGCAAAGGCCCAAACCAAAAAGCCATTTCCAAAAAAAAACAATGTATCAGAGACAAGGCCCTGCACCCGGGGCAGCAAGGGACCACTGCACCCTCTCCTCCCGCTCCAGCCGAGGACGCACAGGCTGGAAGCCCAGGGGGCTAACGTCCCTTCTGCAAGGCCTTCCGGTGCTTAAGGCTCGCTATTTGCCCAGCATACATTCACTCCAGCTCCCGGCCGTCGAGGCCGCGCACTTTCCCCCAACCCTACGGGGGCGTTCCGCGCGCCACGCACTCACCAGCGTTGTAGGCCGCTAGATCTGCACCAGGGCCCGGGCTCTTGCGCTTCCTCGGCCGCCCCTTCTGCACAGTGCCCACACCATTGTAGTAGGGAAGACCCAGAGGGTTGGCCCCTGCTGCGCCTAGCCCCGCGCTCTTGGCTGCCGCGGCTGCAGCGGCCGCCGCTGCCACGTCAGCGTGGTTGAAGTGTGCGGGGTACTCGCCCTGCAGCAGCGCCTCGAAGTGCAAGCGGCAGTAGACCAGGCTGTCCTTCATGCCGAAGTGATCGCCCGTGGTCAGCATCTTGTTACACGTGGTGCACGTGAAGCAGTTGAGGTGATAAACCAAGTCCCGAGCGCGCATCACCATCTCCGAGGCCGAGATGCCCAGGTGGCAGCGGGCGCAGCGCTGCACAGAGAACCGCCTGTAGGGACCATGGAGGGAGGGGCTGTGGGAACACACGGTTGGGTACCCCCCTTTTCCTCCTCCAGGTGCCGCTGCTACTGCGGTGGGCAATCCCCTCCTCAAGATGGACAACCCGGCCTTTATTTGGAGGATGGGGCGGGGAGAGAGAACTAGATTTTGACCCAGGCCTGGTCCTGCCCTAAAATAGTTTCCCTTGACACACTCATGCCTACAAAGACTTCTACTTCACCCAGAGTCTCCGCAAGCCCTAGGAAAGCCTTTACCTGGGAGTGGAGGGAGACACTTACCACTTATCCCTTTCTCAACCTTTACTCCTCCCTCCAAACCAGCGCCTGGGAATCCTACTGACTTTTGTAATTTGGAAGAAACACAGAGACAGGGAAAGAGAGACAACAGAGAGAATATACATAGATCTTAACCCTAAAACTGGGGAGAAGGAGAAACAGGGAACTTGGAGTCTGCTAGTGATTCTGGTTCTTTGATCTCGGCCAGCTTTCACTCCCATTTTCTCAAAAGACCTGGAAATGCACCCACTCCCACAGCTCTCCTTCCAACTGTGTTTCTGTCCAGCTTGGGCTGCCTAGGTTTAGGGGTGCCTGTTTCTATAACCTCAGATTAACTCAAGAAACTTCAAAGAGAGAGGGGAGCAAGGATCCCAACTCAAGCTTTTTTGTGGTCTGAGCTCCGAGGGGGCGGGCAGCTTCTGCTTTTTTTCGGGTTCTCTTACTTTGTAGACCTTTCCAAGAGCTCCCCAAATTGCTGCTTTAAAAGGTTATCACCCAATTTGTGCTGGCTTGGAGAAGCTGGGGCGGGGCGGGGGGGGGGGGGGGGGGGGGAGTCCTGAGTAGTGAACCCTCTCCTGGGACTAAAGGGAAAGGAGAGGGCCAAACTGTAAGATTGTGCCTGAGACTGGGGGGAGGGGCCCTGAGGGGCAGTTGGGTGGGGGGCTACCTGTAGTAGTCTTCCTTGCAGTAGATGCTACCGTCTTTGCTGAAACAGGTGAGCTCCGACTCCAGGTTGAGCTTGCACTCGCAGCACTTGAGGCAGCGCATGTGCCACTGCTTGTCCACCGCCAGCAGGTAGTAGCGGTCCGAGATCTTGCCCCCGCAGCCAGCGCACAGCGCTGCGCGGTCACTGCTGATGGACGGCATGGTCTGCGAAGGGAGGGAGGCGGAAGACGGCAGCGCCTGCGTCAGCCAGCGGCCCCTCCGCCGCCGCGAAACTGGCACCCACAGCTCCCTCTGTGGCCTCGGCTAGCCCTGAACGCGGAGGGGGCTGCCAGGGCATGCGGCGGGCTTCCCCCCACCCCAAAAGGCCCATTTTCATTTCTGGGCGGTTTAGAACCCAGGCCCGCCAGCGCAGCCCTAGCCTGCCACCGGCCCAGGCCGGGATCCTGGCCTAAATGGCTCTCCTGCTTACCTCTCTCCCTTCCAGTCCTCCCTGTCCTTTCCCCCAAAATGCTCGGGCTGTGTTTAGGGACCAGGACAGCTACTCCAGTCAAGCCCTCCAAGAGCTTTCCCCAAACTGTTTCTTAAATGAGCCGGGGGGCGGGGGGTAAGGTGACCATTAAGTTACCCTCCACACAGACTCCTCTTTGGAGAGACAGTAGAGTTCCTGGGCCCCAGCTCCAGTGATCCCTGGATTCTTAGGCCAGAGGTTAAGGCCAGGACAAGTCAGCCAACTTCTGGCTCCTCTGCCACACAGGCTGGGGCCCTCTTGGGTTCAGGGATGAGGTGAATGGGGTGCAGGGACACCCTCAAAGTCCCTGGGTGAAGGACAGGTTCAACCCAAATCCTCCTCTATCCAAACTGACCAGCAGAGAAGGTCTAACCGAAGAAGGGCTCGGAGGCTGGGAGGCCACTGGGGCCGCTGGTCCTGCTCCCGAAGCAGAGAAGCTTCTCCCGTGCTCCCCACCTCCGCGGCCTCCTAAAGGTCACTTCTGGGCCCGCTACTTGGGCAGTGTCTGCTCCTCTGGCCCCCAGGGAGGTCTGAGGCGAGGAACTGGCTATTTGGGGCTAGGCCCGCGGAGCCAGGTGTAGAGATCCGAATGGAGTCTCCTTCGGCGAGGGCCAGGCCAGAGCCTGAACTCCCAGCCCTGACCTGGCTAAGTCTGACCAGTCAAAGGTCTGGGGACGCGAACAACGACAAATGTTGGTCCCGAAGGCTTCGGTCTCCGAAACCGCGCAGGGGGTTGAGGGAGATCCCCGATTGCCGGAAAGCCGAGAGCGGCCCAAGCCGGCTGGAGCCCCAGTGCTCCCGGCTGGTTCGCCTTTCCCTGGCGCCGCCCGCGGCGCCGCCAGCAACCGGAGCCGAGAGGTGGAGGAGAGCGCGGGGCTGTCGCTCCCGGCGCCCGGCAAGGTGAGAAGGAAGCTGCCCTGGGCCGCGGATGGGACTTCGCTTCCACTTCCGAAGAAACGCTCCCCTCTACCCGCCAGGGCGGAGATTTCGGTTTCAACCTTGTTTCCCTTCTCCGTCCCAGCAGCCGGGTTTCCCCTGAACCGGGAGCCACCGGCTTTGCATTCTGACCGAGGATCCCCAGCACCCAGTCCCGTGCCGCACGAAGGACGCTCCCCAAACTTCGGGGAGCAGAGGCGCTGACTGGCCCGGCCCCATCCCAGCTCTCAGCCCCGACCCCACAACCGCGCGCCTACCGTCTCGGTGTCGCCGCGGTCGATGGCGGAGCTGATGGCGGGAGCCTCGCTCTTGGCCCTGCGGTCCATCTCGTCGATGACCCCGTGCACCTCGGGGCCCGACAGACTGTGGAACAGCATCGCGGCGGGACCGGCGGGGCCGGGGGCGCGGCTCCTCCGAGGGAGGGCTTGCCCCCCGCCTCAGCTGCCTGGCGCTCCTGGCGCTAACGGGCCCGGTGCATCGCCACCGCGGCCCCGGCCCCGCCCGAGCTCGGCTGCGCCCCCAGGCCGGGCTCCGGGCCCCGGGCGCCCGCGGGGCAGGACGCCTCCAGCCGAGGCGCGGGGGCAGCTACATTGCGGGGCGCCTGGGCGACGGCGCCAAAGCCAGGGTCACAAGGGCACGGGGCAAGCGGGGCGGGGGGAGCAGGAGACTAGGGCAGAGGTCGGCGCCCGCCGCGGGCGCTTTCACGCCGCGGGCATCGCCCGCCCGGCTTCGGCGCCCGGGGCGCAAAGCAGGGGCGCAAACTCTGCCCAAGGCGGCGACGGCTGGGGTCGGGGTTCACCCAGAAGCTGCTAGGTGCCCGCGGCGGCCCAGCTGCCTGGACCCCTCCCCTCCCTGGGGTGCGCCCCCAGCCCAAGGCGACCCTCTTGGGCGCTGAGTCGGCGACTGGAGTAGGGGTTTCTCTGAAGCCTGCGAGCCGAGCCGAGCCACCGGGAGAATTGAAGAGGAGGAGGAAGAGGAGGAGGAGGCGGCGGAGGAGGAGGTGGAGGAGGAGAAAAAAGAGGAGGAGCAGAGTGGGAGGAGGAGTCGCCGGCCGCGGGCCCAGCCGCGCGCAATGCTCTCCAAGCGCGCGCCTAGCCCAGCCCCGGCTCAGCAGTCCGCGCCAGCGCAAGCCTCCGCGCCTTTTCTACAGCCGCGCCTGACATCACGTCCTGCCGCCGTGCCATTGGCCGCTCGGCGCCCCAGGCCCTGGCAGCGCGTGCTCCGGGAAGGCGGGAGACCCCAGAGGGAGGGGAGAGGCAAGAGGAGCAGAGGAGAGTCGAGATGGTGGGAGCTGGTGGGCGAGGCTGGAGGGCGGAGTGGGGGGAAGGCAGGGAGGAGGGAGAGCGCGGGGTTTGGAGTTTTTAAGATACGAACAGCTTCCTGCGATATCTTCAGAAAGGAAAATTAAACCCTCTATCCTAAGAAGGCGCAGCAAGGGGATGCTTGTCTCACTGCGGTCTCCCCTCGGCCTGGAGCCGCGGCCTCCGGCACCCGCCTGGGAGGCCCGGGAAGGCAGGCCTGGGGCAGAGTTGCAAGAGCCTTCGGCCGTTTCCCATCGAGCTCCGCCTTCGGCCCGGGCTCTGCACAGCGGACTGCAGGCGGCCGCGCAGGCCTCCTGGGTATCCGGCTGAGCCTGAGAGGCGAGACCGGCGAGAGCTGTGACTCCAGGGGAGGGGGGCCAGCCAGCATATCCACGCTCCAAGCCCGCTAGGGCCCAGTCTGCAGCCCAGCGTGTAGTTTCTCGCTCTTCCCGTTCTCTCCCCAGCCTGGAAGAGTGGGGGCGAGCATGGCTTTAGGAACTCAGAAAGGCCAGGGTTCGAGTCCTAGCTCTGCCACTTACATGCACTGTAAACTTAGACAGTGACTTCTCCTCCCTTAGCCTGTTTCTGACCTTTATAATAGGAGACAAGAAGCTCTCCTCCGCATGGATGTGTTGAATGAAAGAGACTGTGGATGTAAAATGCCTGGACCATAGTAGGCACTTAGCAAATTATTTCATCACGCCCTCTCCTTTTCCATTAAAAACTTTCTCACTCCAAGATACATTCAATATCAGTGAGGTTCTTAAAAACCACAGGCCCATTCCCTGCCCACTGGGCACACCTTGTCTCAGACCCTGCTGATGGCGCCAGTCCTCCTTATCCGCCTGGCTGCACCACCTCACCAGGGGCCAACAACCTAGCATGCTAGGTAAATCCCAACTGCCACCCCCAGCCTCCAGGCTTCATGCTCACCCTAGAGTCTCCTGGGGACTGGAGGGAAATGCCCAGGTGTCTGGTAGGGAGGGATTTAGGAAATAAAATGATTGTAGACAAAAACTGAATAAACACGTCAGTTACAGAGTCCCATCTGGGTCTGCTTCGGAGGCAGGTTTGGCTCTGTCTAATAGAGACAAGGCGGGTGTCAGTCTGAAATGACTTGTTGCCAGGACAGGTAAGGGGATAGTCAGGACCTGCGGTTTACCTCACAGGGTACAGAGTTGAGGATGAAATCATGTTTTTCGCGTGTGTAACTTTCACACACAAATATATGTGTGCACAAATATATGTATGCGTGTAATGCCCAAGCACATGAACTTGTGTTCATGTGTGCAAATATACATGTTCATCTCTGTTGGCAAAAACACAGCGAGCACGAATTTTATCTCTGTTGGCAAAATCACAGCCAGCACCACTATAGCGCTAGGGTCTTACACATGCGCATCAGGTGTAAAGTGTCCAGAGCTGGGAAGAAGGATGCAACTGCAAAATGGTAAATTGCACGTTATACCTGCACTTGCGTGCTCAGGCGATTCTACTTAAATCACTGCAAGTGCTCCTACGAGGTCGTTTTGCATATTTGAAAAAACTTGAAGTTACAATTATATGTGTATGTGCTGCATGTGTACAGATGCCCCAACACGAGGGAAGGACCACTAAACCCAAAGACGCGCGTGCCCGTGTGTTCACACAGACGAGTGCTTCGGCGCCTGCACATGGCCGGCGCGCAGGCACGCGGACGCCTACACGGATACATAGACATGTTTTATTGACGCATCTGGGGCACTTTCTTTCAAAGAAAGTAAGGAATGAAAATCCAATCTAAGAGTCACCAGGGTTCATCTGGAGGTCGCCCAAGGGGTAGAAAAAATTTGTAACGACGCTAGAGTGTTTGTCCTTGGTGTAACTCCGCTCCCCGGAGGGCTGGATACAATACGTTTTGAAAGCTCGAGGGGCTGCCTTAGGATCTGGGGGCGGGGGGTGGGGTACTCAGCAACTCTTGTCGCGGGCTGCTCAAGAAACGTGGAAACACACTGTGCGACTTTCCACTCCCCCGTACACGCGATTCCGTCGCCACCTCTCGGACCAGCAGCCCACGTCCAACGCTGGGCCGACCCCAGATACTCAGGCAGTCGGTATTCCCGCCCGGTTCGCTTGTCTATTCATCCCTCTGCATCAGGCTGGGACGCGCTCCGTCTTTAAGAGGCTCAAACGCATCTCCTGCCGCGGGGCGGGATCTGGGCGCCTGGGCCCCGGGGTCCAGAGGCCGGTAACTTTGCTAATCTCCCCTAGTGGCGGGGAACGTCACGCAACCGCTGAGCCCTGTCCGCGGAGACTAAACAAGGAGAGGAACAGGCTGTAAACACACATCCTGACACGTGAGTGACATTTACGCGGTGCGAGAAGCTGCAGCCAAGGGAAAGGCAGGGGGTGGGGGGAGCGGGCACCGACAGGTAAGGAACCTTCGCAGGCGCCGGAAACGGCAGCCCCTGGACCTCCCCCTGCCCCCGAAAGTGGCAACGAATCCCTAAGTCCCCCGAACCTGCCTTCTGTGGGAGGTGACAGGTGAACGGAATTCAGGTCTGGCCACTCTCGCCGCTGCCTACCTCCCCACCATCTGCTTCCTCGCAGACAAGCAGACCCGGCGCATAATGAGGTAGCAGCCTCCAGCCGGCCACCGTGACTAACTCAGAACAAAAGCGCTCCCTCCACGCCTCCTCCAACAAAGGGGCCACCAGCCCCGGCGCTCCCCGAAGGCTGCGGGGCTCCCGGCTGCCGGCTGCGGAGCTGCCGCGCGCAAACTTCCCGGGGTTCCCGGGGCTGCTGGCGCCACGGAGCCGGGGCCGCGAAGGGAGGAAGCGCAAGCCGCGCGGAGAAAGTGAGGCCAGACCGGGCGGGGGAGAAGGGAGGGAGCCGGGCGGCCGCGGAAGGAGGGTGATTGATCAGTGCGCGGTTCCCGGCGCTCTGTCCCGTTATTAGAGGCGGCCAAAGCAGGGCCACGCAATAACCTCAGAATCGCCAACTAATTGACGCTGCAGGCAACTACTTCATTGTGCGCGCTGGTTTTATGTCTTCATAGCCGGTGATTGACAAGGTGTAATTAGTCATCTCACTCGGTGATAAACATGGGCACCCTCCTCCCGCGGCATCAGGCCGTGTGTACCAGCAGAGGAAGCGATAGTTGACGCTGATATACCATTAAATCAAAATGAAGACGTTCAGAAGTGTGTGTTTGCTGTGACGCTGTGATGGTTTATTTCTCAAATACGGCACCAACAGATTTACTTGATTTGCAAGTTAACTACAACATTAACTGGTTTTATTTATTTTGCCTCTTCCTTCCTCTTCCTAGGCAGGGATGTTGCTCTTGGAGAATGTGAAGACAGTTTGCTTCTTGACAAGCGAGCGAGCGGGCGCCCAGATTTTTGCAGCCTTTCCGAGTCTCCCCCGAGGGAGAGGCGGCAGAGAAAACGCCGGATTTGGGAGCCACCAGGGAAGGATCCGCGCAGGGGAGCCGCCCTCCTTGGCCCCAGACCCGCCTGCCTGGGGCCCCCTTTGCTCACTGCCAGTGTATGGTCTGAAGCTCTGAGGATGGTGCTAGGGACTGGGGTCGGGGGAAGCCTCTTGAATAATAACTGCAAAGAAGAAAGAGGCGAGAATGTCCCCCTAACCTTGAAGCAGAAAGGACTGTGTTCTTAAAGCTGTTGGCTGCAGTCACAGGGCCAGTTGCCCGCCTCTATTCCCAGAGTAAAGTGTAGCATCTTCTGTCCTCCTGGCTTGCTTGCACCATTCAGCAAATTATACTCCTTCCTCACCAAAGTGGAAATGCTCAGGGGTGTGTGTGTGTGTGTGTGTGTGTGTGTGTGTGTGTTCCCTCTACACTGAGGCTGGTGTTAGAGATGTTACCGATTTAAACCTTCCAGAAACCTGGAGGTTTACATTTTGTAAAGGGAGGGGACAATCCTAGTCTGTCTCAACCCCAATTCTGGTTAGAGTGGCAGGGACTGAACAAAGCCACCAACATGCAAAAGTCCATCTCCAGAGTATCATACGTGCCCCCAGGAAATCCCCAGTGGGATATGCTTCCTGCTCTTTCCCCTTCTCTCTAACCTCTGTCTCCTGTTTGTAAGGCAGAGGAAGGGTGATTCCTTGCCACTGCACAGGAATGCAGGGTTACGGTTATCTCCAAGAAAGGGTGGGGTGAGGCTGAGTCACAGGGAGAGCAGAAAAGCCCTGTATCTTCAATGAGGACCCCCCCACACACCTTTCCCAGGCTTGTGGGCCTCATTCAGCAAAGCAGGGAGTGTTTTATATTGATGTGAGAGGCTGTCAGTCAGCAGCAAATCAGTTCAGGCATAGCTATCTCCTTCTTTATGAAATCAGCTCATTGCCTTGGTCATACTATACAGAAAATCTGCTTATCACCGCTATCGACAATAAAAATTAGTGGAGCCTTAGTTGTTTCCGAAGAGGAACCCCGTGTCTGTGACACTAGAATAGATAAGTAGCTTGGCCTGTTGCAGGCAGAGAGGAGCCCAATTCCTCCTCCTCTTCTCCCTGCAGCAATCTGAACAATTCTGAAACCGCCTCCCTGGGCGTCAGCTGAGCAGGTTGGGGAACTAACCAGGGCTCTCTCTCTAGGGCCCTGTTAAATGCACTGAACTTAAAATGAAACACGAAGTGTGAATTTCAGGTTTGAACATGATGCATCAGGAAACGTGAAGGTTGGCAGCCCTTTTCCTCCCTCCTGCTTTTCGGTAGCAGGTATTAATATTGTATTAAATGTTATGAGAAAGTAAAGGCTGTGGAGAGGAATGTGCTCAGATGCAATTTTGTCAAGGTTTTTATCTGTGATTATGATTCCAGATGTAGAAACTCCCGGAGGAGGGAAATGAGGGGCTGCTGGCATGTGACATGTGTTTTAAGGTGTTTGGCAGTGTTTCTCAAAGTGGTGACAAAATGTTCAATTTTATTACAGGGAATTGGTAAAAGAAATATGAATACTAGGTCAGAGATTGTTCACCTCAGCAAAAGGATTTACCATTATTGATTAGGGTGGGGAAAGTTTGTATCTAGGCCCTGCTTAAATCACATTGTCAACAGTATAAATCTGTCAGATCAGATTTTTCTTAAAGAACAATTGTAACAAAATACACTATAGCTAATTGTATCCCCTCACGGCTAATTTCCACGCAAGGATGTAAATTTCCCTGGAAGCAAAACCAAAAAAAAAGTAAATGTTGCAAAAGATGCCATTTTTTTCCCCAACTGGTATAACTACAGTCATTTATTGACAATCATTTCTTTTTAATCTAGCCCAGAGTAATATCCAGTCCTGGAAGGGCTATTTTGCTAACCTGGTTGCTCTGCAAGCCTCTCAGGTTGAAGCACACACACACACACACACACACACACAACAAAAAACAAAAAAAAAACCAAAAACAAACAAACAAAACCCCGCAACAAATTTTCTCACATAGGAAACCACATTTTGCTTAAAGGAGAATCCGAAAGATTTTGTATAGAAAAAGTGGGGACGGGGGTAGAAGAGGAAGCAGATGAACTCTTGACTGGCTGACAACTCATATTTCCAAGCACTTGAGACCAAACATTTTTCCTATCACAGCCCTTCTTCATTCAAAGGCATCTCTGCCATCCTTTTCTGACAGCAGGACACTTCTAAACTCCATTTCTAAGCACAAGTTTCCCCATAAACCTTTTATGAGCTTCCCATACACTAACACCAATCGACTGGATTGCCCAGCCAGCACTGACTAGACAGGAGGTGGGTTTGGTAAACATTTCTACATAACAAAAAGGAGTTTTTAGCTAAAGATGCTGGACTTGGCTCCTCCTTGGGTCCTCAATCAGAGGACGAGGGTCTCTACCCACTTGCTGGAGCCACTGCTTTACAGATCACCCCATGTCTGGCACACCCATTCAGCCCCAGCCTCTCCTTAGTCCAGGCTAAAGAATGTTGATTTGAGCTTCCCAGCCACTGGCACTATTTTATCATCACAAAGCATACTAGGCTCCCAGCACAAAGTGCAACTTCCTAGGAAGTAAGACAATTCCTCTCCTAGAAGATGATGTAGGACGTGGTAGTTTTCTGAGGGGAACAGTGAGATTGCAGGGGAGGAAAAATGCCCAGTGTGGCCACCATCTCCCACCCTGCACTTTCAACAGGACCCCTCCCGTGCCCGAGTCCAACTTTCCACTGGTTTGATTAGCAAATCTCTACTGCTTTGGGGAAGTTGGCATTGTCTCTTTAGGTGAGGAATGAGTCATTTCCCACATATGCTTCAGCTGAAGCTCAGTCCCTTGGCACCCCTCCCCAACATTTTTATTCTTCCATTAATTAAAACAACTAATGTCCCATTGATTATCTTTGCATGAATGAAAATCATTACAAGCCCTTGCAGGTATATGAGAAATTCTGTTTGCTTAAGTATTCACACTTTGATTTCCTATAGGCTAATTTTCTCAAGCATAAAGAAATTCAAACAAAACAAAACAAAAACAAAAACAAAAGCTCCTGACACTTTGCAATAAAATATGAATGCTAGTTGTAATGAGCTTGTGCCGATCTCTTGCAGGAAGAAATGCTCAGATGGCCCTGTTTCAGTGCTGAATTTTACTATCTGGTAATGGATTCTAGACAGTGAAGGCAAACATTGATAGGTCATCAGACTCAGGTTTTGAATTTGCGCTTGTGTTGAGTCAGATGAGCTCACCCAAATTTACTTTTAAGTTACCGTGTCAGCCCTCGAAAGTAAAAAGGCAGGGGACAATCGACACTATTTGGAATTTCCCAGCTACTTGGCCATTTCAGCTTGCGTCTCCATTTCTGGGGGCTGCCATAATTAGAGCGATCTATTTTGCATTTACTTCTCTTTGCGAGCACTACATTATTCACTCTTTCCTGTGCTTATTAAACAGTGCCACCTGCACCAAATTCAACAAAGCTCTTCCATCAATCAGGCCCAGCGAAGGATCCCAGACCATATATTATCATTAATTGAAGCTCAGTTGAATTGTTGACGATAGAGTCAACAGTAAAAGCAACACATTTTCTAAGACCTGTTTATAAAAATATTTTAAACAAAAAAAAATGCATTCCCCAAATTGTCATCTTTTACACACTCATTTCATTCTTTCTGTACAGTAATTCAAGCAGCAATTAGCAAGTCTTTTAATTAATGAACTATTCCCTGGGTGTCACCAAGGTGCCTGCAGCACAAATGTCCTCCTTCATAGGTACCAGCAGATGCAGTCAATAGTTTGTCCCCCAAAGCCTTAGAAACTGACCACCTCGATAGCCCTAACACTATAAAAAGGATCTGAAGAGCCAAAGGCAAAGCTGGAAAGCAGAGGACAATTTTCAGGAAAGGAGCCATGGAGAGTATGAATCCAAAGAAAGGGAGAGACAGGAGAAAGGGAACCAGCAGCAGAGGGGAGAGGCAGAATATCGATGTCTAAAGACATCCATGGCTAAAGAAAGGCACAGAAAGTTTCTAGTAAAGATGGGATCATCTCTGGGCTTCAGCTACGTTATAAAGGAACTCTACATCCTAATGCTGATGATTTACACATCTTTAAGAGGCTCAAACCTCACTGTGGCTTGTTCTTTTAAAAGCTTCCTGCTTTGTTCAAAATACTGCTTATCTTTGGTATTGTCAACAGCTCTGCTCTGGGAGAGATTAATTAAGTGATAGGTCAGACACAATGAGGTGAAAGGGCATGTCTACCCAATCAGGACTGATTCATCCGTTTCTAGGTGGATCAACTTTTTTGAGGGATGCCAATTTTGGTTCAATTTCCACGGGGTTTTATCAATAGGGATGCCTCAGCTCTTCCAGTGAGGGGCACTTAGCTGGTAAAGACTGGTCTGCAGAGAGAAAAATTAAAAATCTACACTTTGTTTTTTTAGGATGTGGAAACAAAACATAACTATTAATTGTCTGTATGCTTAAGTTTTACCGATCTGGGAGAAGGCTGATTTCTTGAATCCTTTTACAAAATACAAAATAGCTAATTGGGTGGTTGTAATTAAGATTGCCATGCACCACAAAAAAATAAAAATAAAAATAAAAAGTTCGCTTTCTCTCCTCCCACTCACTGTTTTTCATTGCTCCTTTCTTTCAAGTCCACTTTTAATTTCTAGAAGGTAATATCAGAGAAAAATAGAAAAGGGATTGGGGGCGGTGGAGAGAGAAAGAATGAAAAAGAAACAGGGACGTTTTCAAAGTGTCATCAGCCGAATTTTTCCAGACCAATTAGAGGTTACCTTTAAATCTCCATCCTTCACCCCCTCCACACCTTTCTAAATAGATCTTTAGACTGGTGAGAAATTAGTTCATTGGGAAGGGTCATGTGGGTTCCTAACCAGAAGGGTTTTAGGGACCTTAGATCCCACTCCCAGAAATGACACCCTCCCCATCTCTCTGGCAGTCTGGGTCAAAATTGTGGTTGCAAAATTGTGTGTGTGTGTGTGTGTGTGTGTGTGTGTGTGTGAGAGAGAGAGAGAGAGAGAGAGAGAGAGAGAGAGAGAGAGAGAGAGAACTCCCAGCCTGTAAATAAGGCTAGGCTCAGGTAAGGTGACTATTATTGGCAGACCCCAAACAAAACATTTGGAATATTTTTACTCTATTTTTGAACACTCTTGCAAATGAGTCTCACATTTGTAAAATGCCTTTCCAAGGTATTTTGGGGGTAGGGAGGAAGTATGGGGGTGAACAATGGTTTGGGTTTATGTAACTGACCAGCCAT